TTCGTCCTGCATGGCCACTGTGCTGTTGCTGCCGAGCACCGTGACGCCCAGCGCTTGCTGGCGCTCCAGGGTCTCCGTGTACCATTCGTGCATGACCAGCGAGTCGAAGGTGGGGATCAGGGTCACCTGAGGGAGGGGGAAAGAAAAAAAGGGGGGCACAAGAGTCAGAAGCCTCCAACCACAATAGGCACCCCCACCCAGCTGTCAACAGCTGCCAAGAAAGATGCTGCAGGGCTGGGAGACAAACCAGAGTTTGTCAGCCACCTTGCTGCCCTCCTGCTTTTTCTGGCCGGCCCACAGTCGAGGAGGATGGGACCTGGAGTGCAGCAACATCTGTAGGGCAGGACTCCAGGAAGTGGATTTTGCACCGTGCTAAGAATCAGACCACCCTGGGATGAGCCAAGAGGCCAGAAAGACAGGACACCCACCAGGCACACACACCCCAAACAATGACCCCAGAGGGAAGGGGTCATGTCAAGAGAGGTGCCCACCTGGGTGTCCTGGCCCCACTGCTGCTTCCCGGCCAAGAGGGCGTCCAGGATGCTCCGCATGACGCTCTCCTTGAGGTGGTCCTCGCCGCTAATGACATAGCACTGGGAGCGGACATGGCGGAAAAAGTCTTCGTCCACCTGCTGGGCGCTGGCCGAGCCGGGAATGTAGGCCAACTCCAGGTAGACCGGCAGGCGAGGAAGGCCCAGCTTGGTGCCTGCGGGAGAGGAGGAGACATAGTAAGCACCCGCTGTGGGCACAGGAAGATGCGAGAGAGAGAGAGAGAGAGAGAGAGGAGCAGACTCCTGTCCCCTTTTTTGAAGAGCTCTCCCCTACCCCCAATATCTGGCATTGCTGAGCAAAGGCGGGGCCAGTTGCTCTGTTTCCAAAAGTCTCTCTCTCACACACACCCATTTCAAGAGAAGAGGAAACTCCTCCCTACCTGCTGGAGAGAACCTTCCGCCCCTAGATAGGGGCCGGCTGCTGGTGCTTCGCTGACCCATGGAGGCCCGGCTGTCGCCGGCGCCCCCACGGGAGGGGAAGGGGTCACTCCTGCCAAGGGCAGGGGCCCAGGCTTTCTCTCCCCCACTAGTGGCTGAGGAAGGCTTGGCCCGGCCGCTGGGGGCGCTGGTCTTGGAGGGCGCAGAGCCCCCCCGTGCAGGGGGTGGTGCCCGCTTGGCCTTGGGGCCCCCTTCTCTCTCAGGGTCTACCATGCAGATGCCCGGCTGGGCCGGGAGGGGGCAAGGGTCCTTCAGGACGGCCGGGAGGGGGTCGCGGATCCGGGCCAGAGTCTCCGGGTCGTCGTCCGAGTCCAGGCCACCGTCGGCCGTGATGGAGGGGCACTCCTCCATGGAGGGAGGAGCCTCTGAGTCTGACAGGGTGGGCAGGGACTCGCTGAAGGAGGTGGGGGGCGTCTCGTCCACGACGGGGGGCGGCCGGCGGCTGCGGGGTCCCTTCCGGGGGTAGACGAGGGGCTTGGTCAGCTCCTGGGAGAAATCGCTGCTGTTGGACATGTCTCGGGGGCTGCCGCGGACCGAGGGGGACCGCTCCGACTTGGGGTGCTCAAACTCGCAGGGGGACACCAGGCAGAGGTCCACGTCGTGGGGGGAATCCGAACGGCGGCCGGACCGGGGCAGGTGGTGAGCGCCGGGGGGCGGGTGACAAGGACGGAGGGGGAGAGACATCCCGGCTTTGCCCACAGCCGCCTCTGCCTCTCCGGCCCGGAGGTTCTCCGCCTCCTCCTGTGGGAATTCGCTGACGGGGGGCAGGACTTGCTCAAAGGAGATAGAAAGCGATTCGTCCATCTCGGTCGAGTGCGGGGAGCCCACCTCGGCCGGCAGGGAAGGGGTGGTGAGGGTGAGGGACGCGTCCGGGACCAGGCCGGGGGAGAAGCCCCCCGAAGGCTTCTCCTGGGAGGACGTGGAGTTGTCGCAGGAGGCCTGCGGGCCGGGGCCCTCTGACCGCCAGGGGCCGAGGAGAGAGGCTGGGGCCTCTGCCATCACGGCGTCGTCGTCGTCCCCCTCGGGAGACGGGTGGAAAGGGGTGTGCCCGGCGCTGGCCAAGGCAGAGCTGGCGGGGGACATCATCTCCAGCGTCTTCTCTTCCGAGCTCCCGCCGCAGGCTTCGTCCCCTTCCAGGCAAGGGTTCAGGTCCGTCGGGGTCAGCTCCAGGTGGACGCTCCGGTCGCTCTTCGGGGTCTTGGCCAGCGGGGAAGGGGGGCAGACGCCTTTAAGGGGGGAGCTGGCCTCCAGGTGCCGGAAAGGCTGAGGGCTCTCCGGGTTGGCGGCCGCTCCCGGGCCGTTCTGGGGATGCGCAGGCCTGTTCCCAGCGCTAGCCGCACCTTCCTGGGCCGAAGGCTCCAGCTCCTTCTCGGCGGCGGTGAGGCAGCCTTGGGGTCCCTGACAAGGCACCCCCTTCCCCTGCACCCCATTCTGGGGCAGGGCCTCCGACGGGACCCCCTTGGCGCCGCCAGAGATCTTCTGAGCCCCATCCTTGGACAGCTTAGCTTTGGGCTTGTCTCCCTCCTTCTTGGGGGTGGGGACGGTCTTCTTGAAGCTACCCATCTTGCTTGGGGGCCGTTTGGGGGGCTCTCCGCTTGGGGTCTTCCGAGAGGGAAGCAGCTTGGCTGCTTTCTCGTCCCCTTTGGCCTCCTCGCGCTTTGGGGTCTCCCTCTTGGAGGGGTCGGCCTTCCCCTCCTTTCTGGCCGCCTTCCCCTCCTTCCGGGCCGCGTCTTCCTCCTGCGGGACAGGATCCTCCTTTGTCACCAGCTTTTTCGCATCCTTCTTCACCGGCGGCTTCTCCTTCAGCGGCTTGGGCTTCTCCACAGCAGACTCCGCCTTCGAGCGAGGCTCTCTGCCCTTCTCGTCTTCGACACCCCCCTTGGACGAAGCCTCACCGGGGACCTTGGTCCTATCCCGAGCACCGGCCGCCTTGGGCTCCTTCATCTCCTTCGAGACGGGCAGGCTGGACTCCACAAGGCTCTGCCGAGACCCCGACCGGAGGCTCTCCTGGCTCCCGACCCTCTTCTGCTTGGTCTGGGGGGTGGAGGAGGAAGAGGAGGAGGAGGAGAGCGACTCCAGGTCCTTCTGGGTGACCACCGGGTACCGAAGGAACTCCAAGTGCTTGACTTTGTCCAACCCATCCAGGATCTTGCCCTGCGGGGTGCAGCCGGGGAACAAGACCCGGACGATCTTCTCAGTGGGGCTGACGGGGTGCCAAACCAAGAGGGCGCAGACGGAGGTCAGGCACTGGAGAGGCATCTCCAGCCCCTTGGGGTACCCATTTCCGCACCACTGCTGGGTCAGGAATTCTAGCTCCTTGCTGCCTTTCACCGGGTTGAGGACGTACAAGTCCAAGCGGCCCACGCCCATCTTCTGGAAGAGGATGATGGGCTCTGCCTTCGGGCCGGCCTCCCTGAAGAGGGGCTTCGGCTTGACACCCAGCCGGTCCAGGTACTGGAGGGCCAAGCTGGCCTCATCGCAGCTCTTCAGGACCCCCGAGTCCCCCTGGATGGCCTTCAGCTTCTCGGAGGCGTTGAGGAAGACGACACCCAGCTCAGGGGAGATGAGGTTCTTCATCCAGTCATCACTCGGGGAGCCCTGGGAGGAGACGTCCTCCTCCACCTCGGCCAGCTTCCGCTGCAGCAGGCTGTTGATGCCCGGCAGGCTGTCTGTCCCCACGTGGGTCACCAGGACGGCGTCAACACGGTCCAGATGGCGCACCAGCTTCCAGAAGGAGGAGCGGGGGTTGGAGCCCCCGTTGACCAAGATGTTGAAACCGTTGACGGCGAAGAACGCTGAGTCACCCCGCCCACCGGGGAAGATGTAGCAGCACGGGCGGGAGAGCTTCAGGAAGCCGACGGTGCTGGGGGGCTCCAGCAGGTCGAAAGGGGATGGGGGGTCCAGGGACTCTGAGAGGTACTCCAGGAACTCCTGTAGCCCTTCCATCTCGGGAAGGACAGCCCCCGGGTTGAAGCGCAGCTCAATGAAATCCTGCAGGTGGTGCTGGGCCAGCTGGGGGGACTTCCAGGCGCCGAAGTCTGGGCAAGCCACGGTCAAGCTGGTTTTGGCGGCTGGATCTGCGGAGCTGAGCAGCTCTCCCACCTGGCGACGGAGCCAAAAGGGAAGCCAGAGAGAAAGAAAAAGTAAGAGAGAAAGAAAGGGAGTCAGAGTCCAGGTCCTGAGATCATGAGCCGCACGTGGCCCCCACAGACTCAAAGCCCCTCTGCCTCTCCACTGGGGGGAGGTGTTCCAAGTCATGCCGGCTGGAAGCTGCCAGCTCCGGGCAGGAGGAAAGCCAGTCTTTCTCACCTCTTTGTCGGCAAAGATCTGGAGGAAGTCCCGCAAGGAGAAGGAGCCTGTCTGGAGCACCAGCTCCCCGGTCTCCTCCACGCAGGGGCCGGCCAAGATCAGCAACTTGTGCCGCGCGGGGTCAGTGATCAGGTTGCGGAGCTGGGAGAGGGAGAAAAAGAGAAGGAAAAAATAAAGGAAGGGAGAAAACGGGGAGAGAAAGTCAACTGCCCAAGAGCCAAGGGCCACAGTTGGGAACCTGGCCCGCTTACTGCCAAGCTCTGTCCACGAGGCCTCTGCCCCAACCACCTGCCTCTGGGTGTTAGAGGAATAATTCCAACAGGAATGGGCACCCCGCTTTCAAAGCACTGCCACCCCAGGGAGGAAGCTGTGGCTCTTGAGCCTGGGGGTGGGGTGGGGGTCTCACCTCATCGCAGATGGACTTGTCTGATGGGTTCAGCAAAACCAGGGTCTCCAGGACATCCCCCCGATGGTGGAGGGCCCGCTGACCTGCCCAGAACAAGAGAGAGAGAGAGACCCACACACAGGGGATGAGTCTGGGCGCTGAGGAGCCTTCCTTAGCCTCTGTCTCCTAAGAATCTGAAGAGGTTCCTTGGACCAAACTTATGGGCTTCAGCACCGACCGTAGAAGCAAAGGGGCTCCCGCCCGACGGGAAGGCTTTCACTGCTCAAACAAGCCCTGAGGGGCCGTTTGGAGCAGAGGAATCGATCCCTGAACGGGTGGCTTCTTGCCGCAGTCGCTCGCCTCCAGACGTGCTGGAGACTTGTTGAAAGGTTGATGACCCGCCTCGAAGGGAGACCTCATCCAGACAGGGGAGTCCCAAGGGGGGGGGCTGTTTCTGGCCAGGGCTGCTGGGGATCAAGCCCCTGCCCGTACATGGAGACAGGTCCTGCCCGGAGAGTCCCAAAGCCCAAGAAGGCGAAAGAAAAGGTCTCTGGCAGCCTTCTAGGAAAAGGGGCTGGGGATCAGGCAGGGGAGCGTGGGGGGGCAGCCCAAGCCCCCCTCCCTCATGCCTCTAGGAAGTCCCTTTGCCAACTACCATGGGACCAGCCAGGTGACCAGGCGGGGTGTGTGTAGGGGAAGCCACAACACGTTCTTCAAGGAGGAAGCCTGGACTCGGGCAGCCAAGGAAGGGGAGGGGGCTGGCCCACTGGAGCCCAAGAAGCTGCCTGCCTGCTTTCTCTCCCCCCCCCATCGCCTGGGGAAGAACAGCTGCTGCTGCCTCTGTCCAGCCCAGGCGTCAGCTGACTGAGGGTGGCCCAACAACGGGAGCTTTTGTCTCTCCAGCGAAGGCAAAACAAAAAAAGTTGGCCTTCCCCGGGGAAGCACAGAGAAGAGGTGGCCCGGCCCTGCAGGGCTTGGCGGGATGGGAGGGAGATGAGAGCAGTCGCTCTCAAAGATCCCAGGGCTGCCAGTGCAAATCTCGGGAGTCATCGCTGGGGGCCGTGCTGATGGGCGTCTGCTTGGGGGAGAGAGAGGGGAGCGGGTCTCGGGCGCAGCGGGCCCCGGCATCTCCTGCCCTGCCCCAGAGCTCTCCCTCTGGATCAGGGAGGGCGGAGCCGGGCAGGAGCCTCGCACGCCACCCCACGCCCACCGACAGCTGTACCTCGCACGAGATCTGAGAAGGTGGCGGAGTGGCGGGAGACGAAGAGCTTCAGCTGCTGGTCCAGGTTGCAGGCCGTGAGGTCGATGTCCCAAGACTGGATGCCTGGCCAGAGAGAGAGACAGAGAGGATGGAGGAGGTCAGAGGCTGCCCAGAGTGTGTGTGTGGGAGAAGCAGGCCACCAAGGTCAAGGTGGGCCCTCCAGCCCACTCTCTGGCCCCTTCCGTCGGGGGTGCCTGCTCCTCCCCCCCAGACATTGACTGTGCCCTGACGGGTGGGCCACTCTGTCCCACCAGGCCTGCTTTCCACTGTGTCTTGCCAGGGGCTTCACTGGCCAGCTCTGGACAGGAGCTGAAGGCCCCCAAGGTTAAGCCCCCACAGCCGCTTCCAGGTTCTTCCCCTTCCTTCCTTCCTTAGCCCAGAACAACCTCCCTCCATGGGTTTTCTCCCCTAGGAACCAGGGATCTCAACTGGGGGAGGGGGTGTCACTGCACCCCACCCCTGTAAAGGAGGGCGCCCGCTACTTTGCAGCTCTCTCAAGAAACTGCGGAAGCAAAGCATGGGGTGAGCAGCAACGCAGCAGCAACGCGTTAGGAAAGCCGTGTGCTGGATCTTCTCCCCGGAGAACGAGGGAAGGAGAGGGCCTTGCGAGTCGGCCCTTCAGGCTTACATAACAGCAACGCAGCCTGCATCCGTGGAGGAGATCCGGGAGGACTCCAGCTCCTGCCCGTGAGTCCACACATACACACGGACACCCCTGTGCTGCACGTGGGTTCTGTGGATGGGCCAAAACTCAGGGCCTTCCAGAGGGAGCTTCGGAGGCCCCCCTCCGGCCGCCCATCTCCTGGTTTTCCTGCATCCTGCCTTCTTTTGGCACCAGGCCTTTTTCCCCCTGGTGTCGATGGAGTTCTTGCTTTCTGCTGATGTGGGCTTCTAAGCAGAGGAAAAGCAGGATTTGCCCTGAATAAAATAAACAGGCCAGCTGGTTTCTGGGCTGCTGTGGCTCTCTCTACAGAGCACAGACAGAGTTCTGGCTCCTGTCCTCTGAATAGGCCGGCCACAGAGACTGGTGAAACATTAGGAAGAACAAGTTTAAGAACGCGGCCAGACAGCCCGGAAAACCCACAACTACCATCGTCAAAGCCTTCGAGAATACAAGGAAAGAAACGCTGACGTTGGGAAGAGTCCCCTGCATCTGTTTCCTGTTTGGAGTCTGGATGGAGGAAGTCCGTCCAGAAACAGAAAAGGTCCTGGCCGAGGGAGGCGAAAGCTGAGACGAGGCTGATTAACGGGCCTCTCCACGCAGAAGAGGCTGGTCCTTCAGCCGGCAGAGCAAGAAACGGGGAGATCCAGCGCCTTAGCCTCAGCCCACCGCCCTCGGAGCTGGGAAGCCGAGTTACGTAAACACGGGAGCTAATGCAAAATCATCCTCTCTGTCCCCAGAAGGACAAGGCAGCCTCACTTTCATTCGGAGACGTGAGGCCACTCCGGGATCAACGCCTCATCTCTGGCTCTCGGGGGGGGGCTGATCCAGAGGGAGCCGCAAGCTGCTGGGGGCAGAGGGCCACCTGATGCCACAGAGCTGACTCACAGAGCTTTCCTGGAAGAGGGGAAGGCACTGTGGATGGGCCAGGATTTGTGGTCTTGACCCGGCAGCCGCTCCAAGACACAAGAGCCGCTTTGCCCTGGGAAGGAGAGGCCCGTTAACATCAGGTGCAGCCGGAGAGCTGCCAAAGACTCGGGAAAGTGAGGCGCAAACCACACACCCTGCCTGCAAGCCGAGGCAAGTGGCGCACCGGTCCTTCTCCTCCTCCTCCTCCAGGCTGCTAGCAGAAGAGGCACACCTTGTCAGCAGGTGCATCAGGCAGGGGTGGCTCAGCCTCCCCCGGGGCCCTGAGGGGATGCAAAAGCAGACACTTGAGCAATTAGCAAAAGGCAATTTGCTCCTGGAGAACAATTAAAAAGGAGGAGAAGCAGACTCTGCCTCATGCCAAAACAAAGAAGATTCCCATCCCTACCCTTGGCTGTCTTGCCCTTCACAAAAATCAACTCCTGGTTGGGCCAAGCAGCCATGGGGCAGGCTGGCACCAACTCCACCCCACCCCCAAGTGTGAAGCCCCAGCTCCTGCCCCAGGGCTTCCAAGCCACATGAGGTTGAGAGGAAGGTGGAAGGAGAGAGTCACCCCCCCAGCCCCTCTACAGCCTCTCCCTCCCCCCCCCGCACATGGACTTGCTGCCTTCTGGGGAAAGGCAGGAGGGGGTCACTGGAGCAGAAGCCAAAATCTGAAGCCACCTTCCCCTTCCTCCTCCCTGGTGAATACCACCCTTCTTCTCTGTGGCCCTCTGACAGCCAGAGAGGCTAGAGGCAGTGGGGAGAAAGGGGGGGTGGCGACCGGAGGATGCTGGCGCCCAAGGAGCAGGGCCCAAGGCCATGTTTGGCATGGGAGGGGGCTCCAGGAAAACCACACACCACACAGCGCGAGGGGATCACGCGCCAGTGAATCAGGGAAGCTGCTGAGGAGCAGCTGCTGCCCTAACAAATCCAGTCAAGTGATGGCCTCTTGACTCTCTTGCGCCCAGTTTCCTCACCGGGGGGGGGGGGGGAGGAGCAGAAGTGGGAAATGGTTCCCACTTTCTTAAGGGGGGCAGAAACAGCCCCATGAGAGCTCTTAGAGGTAGCAGAGATCCCTACCCTCTCACTCTGCCAAACCACCAGGATTCTGAGTGCAGGAAAACAAAGCCAGCCCCCTCCCCCGGGACGGATCCTGCAGCTGCTAAGGCCGGGTCCCGCAGCCACGACGGTGGGGGCGGCAAGGGCCAAGTGGAGTAGGATCATTTTCTGCTGGTCTGCCGCGAGGAACTTAACACGAAAATCAAGACGCCCGCTATCGTGGCCGTCTCGCTCCCTTGATTCTATGCGGAACCAAAGCAGACCAGGAGAAAAACTCCCCATTGCATCCCCCCTCTTTGACCAAACAGGAACGTTTCTGCTTTCCTCCAATACACTTCTTTCTCAGGGGGGGTTTGTGGATGTGCGATGCGATGCTGTCTTGGCATCGAGGCCAATGTCTGAGGTCATCTTTTCTGCAGAAAAAAAACGACTCCACCAAGACCCGGAGCTCACTCAGCACAATACATTAAACCTCCTCCCCAAACTTGTTAAAGCTAACACTGTTAACAAACCCTGCACCCCGTGTCTCACGCCAATCTGTCATTTTAACCCTCTGGGCATGGAAGGAATAGCATCTTCACACCCTAGGAAGAAAGTACTGTAGGTAACTGCTGGATCGCTCAGGGATTGAGGTTCTCTGGCTGCGAAGCCTGAGGTTGGGAGTTCGAAACCCTCAATGGGCCTTCTTGACAAGGGCTGACCTGGATGATCTTTAGGGGTCCCTTCCAGCACTGCCATTCTAAGATTGTTATTATTAAGTTCCACTCTGTGCAGCAGTTCTGAGCACAGGTTGGACAGTTAAAACGTGTCTGCATTTTTTTCGGTCCAATCTTTTCATGCCATACGAATTTCCAAGACTGTCTTGCTGTTGGTTACCTCATTACTTAGTAATGAAATGTTACTGTTCTTTTTAAATATATTCTTTATAATACCATTTGGCTTCTTAGGATATTCCTTACAACCACTTTGTTTGCTTGGGGGGGGGGAACCTTTTATTAAGTGTCAGGGTCTGGTTACCTTTCCTACATGCAAACAAACAATTGTTTACATTTATTTTTACTATTTCTTTGTGTTTACAATACAAAGGGAAGTGCTTAACCCAGACAGTTGATATGAGAGGCGCACTGACCCGGGTGAATTCGCCTGTCCGTTTTATGCACCTAGGCAACTTTGATTCCACTTAACATGCAACCCTATTCCTGTTTATCTGAAAACCAGTTCCCTTCCACTGGGACCAATTCTCAAGGGTGACCCCAGGAGAACCACCTTATTTGCACTTATCTTGATCTAAAGGACCAGCGATATAAAACAGGCAGTGTGTTACTTATATTCAATGACTGCTAAAATGTTTCTTCACCAAAAAAGACCGATTCCCAGCCAGCCTTACTACTTCTTTTCCTGTCTTACTCAAACAACAAAGGAAGTGATTCACTGAGCTGGGGACTATTGCAAGTGGCTCAGTGACAATCTTGGTTAGGCCTGAAAGCAAAGGGTTATGATTTATACTATTAAGCTAATTAAAAGATCATAACGGGATTGTGTTTTCTATCCCTGTGCAGGTTCCCACTCTGGCCTTTCCTTATTTAATGCCCCCCACCATTCTAAAGGGTTCCCCTCCTTGCATTCCCTTTACTTATCCTCCACAAACTGTCCCCTACTCATGAGGAGGTCTCTGCTTTTCTCTTCCTCCCTTAGCCTACCTCACAAAGCTGTTCCAAGAAGGTTCAAGTAGGGCTGAAGGGAACAGGAAGCAGGGGGAGAGAAAGAACCTGGGAACTTTCAAATGGGAAGAAGGATATTCAACTCCCAGAGCTTGGAATGGTGAATTAATTAATTACTTTTGCCTAGGACTACAACTCCCACAATCCTCAATGGCTATCAAAAGGATGCTGGGCTCAGAAGTAAAAAACCACAAAGGGGAAAAGTTTACTTATTTTAGGGAGGTGGAAAAAATACAATTGCTGGCATCCAACACCCTATAGCCCCCGACCATCCTAGTAACCATTCCAGATTTGGTCAGCTTTATGCCTTGAAAGCAGACCTACCTAGCTATGCAAACGTGCACGTGAGTGTGTGTGTATGAGAACACGTGTTTGAAAGCAGATTTCACATACATATAACATATAAATTCATCACATGTACCTACTTATACACATATGCGTGGGCATCCAACACCCTATAGCCCCCGACCATCCTAGTAACCATTCCAGATTTGGTCAGCTTTATGCCTTGAAAGCAGACCTACCTAGCTATGCAAACGTGCACGTGAGTGTGTGTGTATGAGAACACGTGTTTGAAAGCAGATTTCACATACATATAACATATAAATTCATCACATGTACCTACTTATACACATATGCGTGTTTGAAAGTGGTGAATTAATTAATTACATGTACCTACTTATACACATATGCGTGTTTGAAATGCACCCATTCAGAGACACGTATCTATGCATGCACACGGGCAACCATGCATGCAAACACACGTGTTCCCCAATTTCTCTCGACTTCCCCAAAGCTTCTTCACGGCCTTTCCTTGCATAGACCCCCCCTCTCCC